CACTATGTCTGACGTTATGTTTAACGTACAGAACGAGAGTAAAATCGAAAGTCGCGTGTGGGATTTTCCTGTGTCCAACTTGACCAACAATAGTAAGATATTGTAGTGTATTGTAATATTGTCTAAATTTATATTTTTGCCATACACTATTCAATAACGCAAGTAACCACCAAGCCCGTTATTAGCCCGATGAGGGCCCTTCTTGCAATATCAGGCTGATATTTAGTACGACTAGAGTCGGTGTATAATGAGAAACGCCAAGAGTGAAGCCAGGTCTACCTATTGAACCTCCAAACCGGCTACCTATCGTGCAAAATAAACAAACATTGCGATGCTATGAAAGGTCCACGAAAGGTATTGCAATAAATTATGAAATAGGGGAAAAGTTGGCTTCGGCAATTGGCGTTGACGGCACCGTCGAAAAATCGTCTCTTCTAGAACATATTGACAGTTTCTTATGGGATTTCTCGGTGGAGTGAAAGGATAGTACGAAGTCCGCCATGTTTCACGCACAGCCTGGCGTTTGCTTATGGATTTTACCATAGGTGTAAAGAGCTACAGAGTCGCCGTCAACGCCGATACCTTAATCTATTATCGTCAGGGGGTAAACAAAGTCCTAGAGCACTCAAATTTGGCCAATAGTTGCTCTGAAACACAATGTATCCACATGCCAAAATTGAGCTCTCAAGGACGTTGTTTACCCCCTGACGATAATAGGTAAAGGTATTGCCGAAGCCAACTTTTCCCCTATAATCGAAGAAATGATCATGAACACGCAGTGAGTATTAAAATGTCATGGGATACATTTGGTAATGATCAGTAATGAGAATTTCTATTACTTTTTTATTAGGAAAATTTGAAAAAAAAAATCACTGATATAATGATTTACTACAGCCGCTATGTTTTTTTTTCTCGCTAGAAGACATTTGAAGTTGATGCAGAAGTCCTGTGTTGCCAAGTGAACAGAAAGGGAATCTTTCAAAAACCGTGATGCGAGTTCAACTGTTTTTCTCTTAGCGTGACTCATTATACACCGACTCTAAGTACGACTTTAAATTTTTATATTAACCTTGTATCAGCATAATATTGCACTTTTTGCATTACCGGACTTGGCAAGATCGTCACCATTATTTTGAATAGAATGATGCTACACATCAATGCAAACCCAATGTTTGCTTTTTTTTTTTCTTTGATTTTTTTTTCCGTCGATCTTGTTTTCCGTGCTGAGCACCAATGCTACCGACGCCAGGAAGGCAGCTCCCACACCTGGAACTTACCTATCGACTCATCAACTCATGAACCGGGGACCAACGGGAAGTATTCCGAAGGAAGGCGTGATCAAAGATGTTATGCCTCAGAACATCCCGACGGCGGGATCATGATCAGTCATGATTGAACCCAGGCCTGCTGGGGTGAGAGGTAATCACGCTTACCACTACACCACCGCCGCCGCTAATGTTTGCAGATGAGCAGTTTGTATTTCTCCATGGGCATTCAACTACTCATCAACTCTTAAGAGTTACTAATTTAATTCGAACAAACAATGCTAGACATAGCATTCGACAGTGTTTAGTATGAAGGTTGCTACCGTTTTGTTTCATATCCAGCTTTCCATGCTTGGTAATGGCGGCCTGTTTGTATGAATATATGTATCCTATACTGTACTTTTTGACACTAACTGGAGGGCGTATGTTGCACGCTAACTCGAAAGTACCCATTAAATGAGTTTCTTGTATTCATTATTTTAAGTTATTCTAAACTGTCAAAAAATGGGTATTATCCAAAAACGAAAAGCGGGTACTTTTTCCCCATTTTTGAAAATATATTCTACTGTTAAAATGGGTAAATATGTGTCTTCAATTAACTTCAAGACATCTCTAAAGAACTGGAAGCGCAGGACAGAATGTGTAATCATTTTATATTGCGTGCAAATCGGTAAAAAATCACATTTAAAATATTTAGACGAGTACTGCGATTATGTGACGGAGGTCCAATGGATATCGAGATGGATATAGTAGTTTGATCCGGCCAATGTTTATTGTGGTGGAAATGTTTATTGGTAATAGTGCTACGGCCAAGTGATTAATTTTTTCTTCACTTCAGACAAAGATGATGAGAGTCAAACCGAAAGACCCGGAATAGCGAAGACACGATCTGGTACCAATTGTTACGAGGTAAATATTAAAAGTGCAATTATGATGTAAATTGTATATGTTCTACAAATGTGTTCCGTTTTAGGTCAGTGAAAATCATCTATAATTAAAATGTGATTTACATGCAGAAGGGTCTGTTCGATCAATAGCATCCCTCGCGGACAGCTCCCAGCAGTGATCTGGACCGAATGTTGAAACCGCTCTGGCGGAAAATACTAAGCTTGAATGTCTGCAACCGTGCCTATTGGTATATTCTACTTATTTGTGTAATATGTATTGTGATTATGATTAAGTGTTTATGTGCAATAAAGAATATGAAGTATTTTTATGATTTGAAATTTTTTTAAAACGTTTGCTGAAAAGCAGTCTGAAGCAAAAATACGAATCAATAAAATGGGTACTTTTTACTCATGTGCAGAAAAAACATGATGGATAAAAAGTATCCATTTTTTGACGTTTTCGCTGAATACTCATTAATGAGTAAAATAGGTTTTACTCATTTCATGAGTTAAGCCACTTTTCTTCAAAATGGTTCTTTTTTTACTCATTAATGGGTACTTTCAAGTTAGCGTGTGTTCCATTTTCTTCTGTTCCTGGGAGAGAGAAAGGGAGGGATCAAAATCCGAACCTCCAGATAGTACAGTGAAGGATACATTTTTTCATACAAACAGGCCGCCATTACCGATCATGGTACCATGGTACCAATTGGTAAACAAAAAAGTCAGCTGATCGCAACTGTCTCGTGGACAGCTTTATTGGGGCGTGAGCCCGTTTAATTTTGCCAGCTTTGTTTGTAACTCACACAGCCGTGCCTGCCGAGTAGAACTTGGAATAGAGTTTGCTGACGTTTATCGTATACACGTTACGTCACGTATACGTATACGCAAAATGTTTTCATCGGGAAAAAAAACTGCATAGCGAAAAGTTTTCCTGATGAAAACAAATCACTGACACAATCACACTTTAGCAATCTCTATGCGTACGCATAGACTTCTCTGACGTTTGTGAAATGCGCAAATATTAGTGCAGAACTTGGGGAAAATTATAAGTTTTAGTGCAAGACATCCGTAGAATTCACCCAATTCATAAACGTCAGAGAAGTCTATTGTTTTCATTTTCTTCTGTCGTTTCGCTTTTTCTCATCAGAAGTCTTCAATATTTTCGTTGTGCTTTTCATCATCAGCAGTGAGGGTTACGTTTTGCCTGTGAGCAGTGACCATTACTGGTGATAGTCGTTTGCCATTAGCGTTGACGGCACCGCCGAAAAATCTCGCGTCACTTTTCAAATAGACCAATGCAACATATCCACCATTTTGAGAAAATCGAAGTTGAAGTTCGACAGATTATTATTTTAACTGTTTAAAAACAATACATTTTGCAATACTTTTTTTAATGTAGTCAGTGTATAATAACGTTGAAAATTCAAAAGAAACGGTAAAATCAATTTTACTTTGAATTTCATGCTACAACATAGAAAAAACCACATAGGACGTTTTGACAAGTCGAGTTGTACATTGAACATGTTACATTGGACGATTTTTCTCAATGACATAATCAATGAGTGTTACATAGGACGTTTTGTCTACATGATACTAGATTCCCTTTCACAGATTTCAGAGTATAGTACCTAACTTTAGATTGGCCCCGCCTTTGGAAAATGAGCACCAATCATGTTACCCGAGCAAAGTTAGAGATCAAATTGAAATCAGAATTTGCTGTTATGATGTAACTTACTTTGAATACTCCATTTGATCTCATTTTGGTTGACTTAACGGTTAACACATCAAAAATGAGAGCAAAATTTTACACTGTTGAAGCAAACGGAAAACTAATCCTGCTTTCAATGAAATCAATTTGATTACTGATTTTGCATTCATAATGTTTGACTGAATACGGGCCTGGTGTAAATGGTTAGCATCCAAGCTTCTCACGCTGAAAGACTTGAGCTCAAATGTCACCTCGGGTTGGTTGCGAATGACCTAAAATTAACACAAAACAATTAAACAATAATCGTTAGTTCAACGACAGATAAGCTTAACTTAAATCTTAAACAAGACGTTAACAGCAGAACTTCAAGTTAAGTTGCTTTCATTTAAAATGTCTTGACTGCATAATGAAAGCACAATATGATATCAGACTAATGTCGTGACAATTGAAATCAAAATGAGTATTCATTATGATAGGAACTGCAATCTTTAATATCGATTTGCTTTCATTTTGTTAACCGACTTTGCCGAAGTAACAATCATGTACCCATCATTTTAAACTGTACATTGGACAATGTTTGATGAATGATTATCTTAAATAAATGAAAGTAAATTTGGATGAATGTTTTTGTATCACATACAATGATAGAAGCGCAATACTTTGTATCGCTTAACTCGATTTGTTTACATTTGTTACATTGGTCTATTTGAAAAGTGACGCGAGAAATCTTCTCTTCTAGCAAAGATTGACAGTTTCTTATGAGAATTTTCAGTGGAGTGAAAGGATAGTACGAAGTCCGCCATGTTTCACGCACAGTCTGACGTTTGATTATGGATTTTACTATTGGAGTAAAGAGCTACAGAGTCGCCGTCAACGTCAATGGCTCTACCTCTCACTGCGTGACAAAACCTTCTGTCAGCGATAGTCGGTTAATAGAGATTGCTGACGTTTATCGTACGGGCACTATTATTTTGAACGGTTCCTCAGTGAAGTTTTCATTTATACTTTATTTCACCGCCATGTCCTAATCTAAAGATCAATAACTATTTTCAGATCCTAATCATCAATACTACGGCGGTTATCCCCAGCAACCAGGATACAATCAAGGCGGTTTTCCACAACAGCCAGGCTATAATCAAGGTGGTTATCCATCTCAGCCGTACCCACCACAACAGGGTTATCCCGGTTATCCACCTCAGCCGGGCTACCCCCCTCAACCGGGTTATCCCCCTCAGCCAGGTATGGTGTTTGTATATTCAGAACTGTGTATGGAAAGTTGAACAATCTGATTTTTATGTGTGTAGGTATCGCGCCACAACCTATGTTTCAACCCTCATACCCTCCGCAAGATCAAGGATATATAGGACAACCAGCAATGGCCCCGGGTGGAAATTATGAACACTATGATCCCGAAGATCAAAGTGCTAAAGGCTTTGACTTTACTGATCAATCAATTAGAAGGGGATTTATTCGTAAAGTGTATTCCATTCTGACGGTAAGTATTACGAAATTCCCATCAAACTGTACTCTCAATCATTCAGGCAGAATGATGAGGCAGATGGCAGTTCATATTCATATGAAAATGATTCATTGAAGCTGAATGTTTTGCGCACTGACTTAAAGTGTGAAAAAGTGCGAGCTTCAGTCTAATGTCATAATGTGTTCGATGCACTTATTCCTTATCAGGAAATGATTAATTGATCGATATTTTGACTGTTAGTTCACAGCAAAAAAAAGCAATTTTACGTGACAGGTAAACCAAAGCCATTTTAAAATTACATCGCTTCAATTTAATTTTCCATTAAAAGAGCATGATAAAACTCATAAAATTACATAAATTATTCTCCACGCGATGTAAAAACTTATCGAAGAACATCGAATTTTAAATGTATTTTTTTAAATTTACATACTCGTGTAAATTTAAATCAACAATTAGAAAGCTAATATGGCGGACGGACCGATTATTCGATCAGTTTTTTTTTCTCCACCGCGTACAGCTCGAGTCGGAAAAAGTGTAAAGATGATGATGATGATGATGGTCCCCCAGACAACCAGAAGTCGTATAGCAATGTACGTAAAGTATCGTAAATAACTACAGTTTCAGTCAACATCGCATATAAGTATGACATACATCGCATTATGTTTAAGTTAAATCGTATAGAATGCAAATTTCCGACTTATTTACGACGAATCTTTTTTTCATCGTACTATATCACAAATTAAATCGGATTACATCGTAAGGTTTTTCAAATTGAATTTGTTATTACAGATTGAATCGTATATAATGTCAAATCAACTCGTTTAAAAAGAAATTAAAATTTGCACGTATATGGCCTCCACTTTTGTAGGTATAGGGCCTATTTTTGCATTCTATACGATTTGTTTGTTTGTATATATGTTTGTATATCACGAAAACAACTTTAAATATACGTACATTCTGGTTGTCTGGGCCCACCTCTTACCCCTACAAAGGTTTGAGCTGGACGATTTATCTTTAAGATAATTAAATATGACAATTTAACCAGACTTGCAAACAAAATAGAACTGGTTACAGCTACAGATATAAATTCCCTGTAGAGTTTACAGTTGCTTCACAGCGATATAAATGTTGAAAAGCTCAGGCGTCCACCTCTTAGTTCGCCTTTTTGTCTACCTAAAATATTCATAAGTATTACAAGCAATCAAGAGTTAATGAACAATCAACAAAGCATCCTATTACACTAGCAACCCGGCAATCTGATGCTATCATAATTTTCAGCAATGTCAGAAATGCTCACGAACCCCCAATATTTGCCAGAAAACTTACTACTAATTCAAGGTATCTTCCAAATGAGCTTCAAAATTGCATTTATTTATCAAATTTTAAATTCAGTCCTCTATATCCGTAATACGCGCGCGAGGCTCAAACCTTTGTAGACTACCGTGCGGGACCGAAATCCGTACACCTAAGCACGAAAGAATCATTAATGGTCAATACTAAATAATACTATCACATTATGCTCTGTATCACATCTTTTCCCCATACATTTATCTTTATTTTACCATTATTTGCAAACACCAGGTCTTAAAATTACCTTTAATTATAAGAAAAAGTATTTAAATTGCACATCTCTTGAATCAAAATCCGTACAGCGTTCTACGATTGAATCAAAATCCGTACAATTTTGAATCGAAATCCGTACACTGTGTTGAGGATGAATCAAAATCCGTACATGCATGTAAATCGATCTAAATCAATGAAAAAAAACATGTTACTGTCTTGAATAAAGTATTTATTTAGAAGTTGCTTGACTAGGAGTCCAAAACAGATATACTCGTTTAAATACACTAGTTTACAGCATATTTGAACGTTGTACGCTGATGGTTTTTTTCTCATGTAAAATCGTGCGCTGAATCCAAAAATGTAGTCCAAAAAATCTCAGTAGGATAGATTTCGAGATATAGCTAAAAAATTAAATATCACTTTAAAAAAAAAACCTGTTTACTAAAACCACAAATACCTCCGGCTGTAATGAAGTAATAATTAATATTTTAACGCCGAATTAAACGTGATAAAATTTGATTTCGATCATTACAACTTTTTTTCCGTGAGAGTAATGGTAGAACCACAATAAACATTTTTATTTACATTGCTTAAAAAATTAGCAGAAATTCATTTTTTCTAAGGAAAACTTAAAAAAAAACTATTAAATAATAACAATACCACTAATCTCACTGACAATTGATGTTTAATTGATCGAACGAAAAATCTCTTACCTCTAATTTAGCGTTAAAATAATTGATATTTATATTGTTGGATTCAGCGTACGATTTTACATAAGAATCATTCGTCAAAGGTTCAAGTTAATTTTTTTAACTAGTAATATCAGCGTTAGATTAATTGATGCTCCAATCGATTCAAAGGAAAGGTTACTGATTTCTTTTTATTTAAGAAGGTGACTGCTATGGATTTTTATGCTAACTAATATCATGCTTAAGGATTCATTTCCTCCAAATTTTATTCTATACCAGTGCTTTGGGTTAAATATTATTACTAGAGTTTACCTCCGATCACAACTTCGAGGTCTTTGAAATTTGACATGTGATAACGTGCAAGATGCGCCATACTTTGGAACTTGGGGGGCACTCCAGATCAACGCTACAAAACATTATTAACCGGGACTAAACTGGGCGGTGTAGCTTGGACAATGTTGTCGAATCAATAATAGCAAACTGAATAGAAGACTGCCGAAACATCTTTAATACACCGATAATGGAAACGCTCCACCAACCCACTGGCATCAAGCGATAGAATAAGCGGTTCCTAAGATGGTAGCCCTATAATGGCGGATAAGTGAAAAAAATTCATCTAATGTAATTCGGTGAAAACCTTCAAATCTACAACTACTATTAGCTGGCTGTTTTATTTCGTCAGGTTCATCGACCAATTCAATGGATTGATTAATTAATGAATCACTTTCGACAAAATAATCATTAAACTTTGATGCAATTACTTGTTCTGACTGTTCTAATGTGCCATTAAATGTTATGGACCGCGGTTTGCAATTACTAGGTTTTAATAAAGATTTCAAAATTTTCCATTTTCTTTGCTATTCATGCTGATCAATCTTCCTTTGAACATATTCACAACGAGTTTTCTTTATCGATTGTGAATACTTATTACGCGCGATTGTGTACCTATTCCAATGATTGTCATTATTTGATCTACAAAACTGTTTGTACCATTTGCCCCTTTTCAGTTTAGGACGCAAAAGATCCAAATTGTACCAGCTGTTCGAGTTTTTCAAAGAAACAAGCTTTTGCTCAACTAGTTGATTGGTACACGTTTTCAAAGCGTTATTAAGAACAGCTGTAGATTCATCTAAGTTACCGGCCGCAAATGGAAAATCCACGCTCCTCTCAACAAGATTCGAAACAGCTTGCTTCGAATATTTCCTCCAGCACTTCAATTTTACAAAATTATCGTTATCATTAACATGGTCTAAGACATTAATCACTAAGGTCTCATGATCGGTTATTCATGAATTCGAATTATGGCTATTCAAATGATTCGAATTATGGCTATCACGCCAGTTAATATTAAAATCACCAGCCAATATATTTAATTTACTAGAATAGAATCAAGGAATGTCTTAAAATGTCGAGCCAGTTCTCTAAAACTTAAACACCATAATTACCCATCTTCATGCCACGTACAACTGTAATGCCCAAGAACCAGTTGCCATCAATAACATTTTGGTACGAAGGTTGAATTGAACTGATTCTTTGACATAAATAGCAACACCGCCAGTGTGTCTAAAACGTGACAAACAAGCAGCAACAATATATCCCGGAATACTATACTGATCAAAATCTTCAGTTTTTACAATATGATTTTCAGATAATAAAACTAAAAGAGGACGTTTTTCCTCAACAATCTCACGTAATGCTACGTAGTTTGTTGACTACCCCGCAATATTCAAATACAAAAAAATCGAATTGATCCACATTCCTGGACTTTGTCAGCTGCTTTTCTTCTGATCAAAACATCTTTTAAAGAGCAAACATTCCGAGCTAAATGAGGCATGGTTGACGTCCAAGTTCATTTTACGTTCTTTATTTATTTTCAAACAATTAATACATTTCAATACAGTTGACGTACACTCCGACGTTTTGTGTTGTTGGCTGCTAAAGCCTCCTTAATAAAGCTAAATAATAATAATTGTTGGCTGCACCTAGAGCATCTCTCACATTTTTTGCAATCCATGCTTTTGTGCCCAAATTCTCCACATTTGAAGCATCTTACAAGGTGTCCATCCAACCGGGAAATCCGGGAAAAACCGGGAATTCGGATAAGCCGGGGAAAAACTGGGAAAAATGCGGGAAAACCCAAATCGCACCGGGAAAGATAATGTATACTCATCCTAAGTAACATTTTTGGTTTTATCGTAGTCGTTTAGGCCATAATTTTATTGGTCAGAGTTTTTCATCAGAATTGAAAGGCCGACTTTAGTTCACGAACGATAAAAAGAAACTTAAGAAACGATGTTAACACTTCGAATGTTCGACCACGAATGAAAATGGCACCTACAGCACCTTTTTGCTTCCCCTTCTCACAGTGTTGCCACCAACCAAGATGAATGAGTAAGGTGGCACGGCAGTTATACTCATAACACTCCTCCTCAACGTATAGTGCCACCATTCGATGACAGTCCCAGCATTCCTGAGAACTTCCGTTGTTTCGTAGTCCCCAGGGGCTTGGTAAGCACGTCAGCCACCATGTGCTCAGTTGGACAGTACTCTAAATTCAAGAGACCCTGCTCACATAGCTGCTTGACAAAATTCTCTTGTCTCAATGTGTTTTGATCGACGAGTGGTCCTTTCGGAATTCACGAAACTTATACAGCTCTGATTGTCTTCCATCATCGTCACAGGACTATCATCTCGCTCGCCTATCTCTTTCACCAATCCTCGAAGCCAAACAAGTTCTTGCGTAGCTTCGCTCAGAGCCACATA